TTTCCTGCTATATTCACTCGGTGGTTTTGTATAAACAGGCATCCTCTGCAAGAAGAACTTAAATTAACCTAGCACGACCGATTTCCACTTTTTCGGAATTTTCCACTTTGCTAAAAAAAGCTTGTATTTCTATTAAACGTTATATTCCTTCAGAAATCGCAACATGCCTTATTGTGGAGAACGACCATTAGTTCATTGTGGTTAGACTCTTGGGGTCGCAGCTTCGGTTGCGTTTGAGTAACAGGGAGTTACTTGTAAAATCCTTGGATTTCATGAGTTAGTGTACCTACTGTACTTATGTAGTTACTTTTTATAGTATGTACTTTTTCTTAGCGGTCAGAAGGAAGCTCGTTAAAAAGCCGGCATCCTGAAATATCCAAAATATGTTGAAATTAGGCTGTACGATTGTTTCTTTTACAACCATCCGCAATTAATATGTTCCAATCAAAAAACTCATTTCAGAATTCCGGGTGACATTTCATGAGATAGGGAATTTACTGTATTTCATCCGATTTCCTAACCTTTATGAACCACTATGATATGAAAGAATTCTTACTTTCTACAACTGTTATGCAATTCCCTTTGCTTTCGCCTCCCCAGGTTATATGAAGGGGTGTCCTATAGACAACCTTTTCGATAAAGATCATAGTCTAACACGAAAAAGAAATGCCAACTGGACTAATTATGGTAAAAATATTGCAAACAGTGCTAGCACGCATCCAACGTAATGAGGCAGTTGTCAAAACTTGCACAGACGTTTGTACGTCCATTTTCTAAACTCCTTTGTAGGTGCAACAGTGGCAGATCGAGTTCGTGTTCCAAAACAGTCCTCACATTAGTTTGCTTACCTATAAAGCAATGCCAGTGCAATGATTCATTCTCACCTTGGCTGCTTCGGGAAATTCATCACAATACACAATACACATAATCATTCTTCGTCCTTCACAGAATTCATGTTTTTTTAAATACAGTAATCCCACGTCACTGGACAGACGACTTTTTGCAGACTTGATACAGCACGGATGTCCGCCAAGGATACTTTTTGCGAAGTTTCGATATGTCACGGGATTTGTATATTTTCAATTATTTCCTTACGTACAGTGTACAGAACAGCACAATATTTAAAAGGAATCGTGGAAAGATATGGCGTTACTAAGAGCGTGTGAAGGGTTTGTTCAGCTTTAAAATATTTATAAAAGTGTTGTCATGAGCAGTTAGCTCATACGCACATTACTACGCGAAAAATAAAGTGTCGTTGGCGGGCGGAGGGGTGGGGGTTGCCAAACATACACCCTGTGCATCAGGTGTTGTGCTTATTACTCTTTTTTAATTGCCTTCCAGAAAAAGTCCCATACGGTACTTTGGTTACTCGAAGAACACTGCAGAGTTATGCTTTTAGTTTGCACAATCGCAATAAATTTAATAAACCTATATTTATTGGACGGTAGGACAAACCATATCTCTGAGACCCCTAAAAACAAAAACTGTAGTGCAGCATAGAAATGAAATGACTTGCTCCACCGCGGTTGCATTTTCTTGCGCTGCAAAGCTATTAAATAAACATGTACAGCATGGCGAGCGCTGCAAGCAAAGTGCCGCAATCTTCGAAGGAATTATAATAACTCGCAAACCAACATTAATTAAGGTTGCACTACTGATTATCGCGCAGTCTCATCTCAAGCATTTTCAGTCACGACTGGATGCCGGCTCTATAAGGAGCTTCTTTCTGACCGTTTACAATAGGATGATTCTGTAAAAATAGCTACTTAAATAGTATGCATTTTATCATGGTATTTGACCGCCTTTATCAATTCAAATTCAATTTTATAGAAAACACGCATGAAAATATTTTTTCTTGTACTCTTTGGGTAGCAAATTACGCCTTCTTTAAATTTTATACTTAAAGAAGGAGTATCTAAGGTGGCACGGTTAATGTTGTTGGTGAGGAGAGGGGTGTTAAACGTCTTATAGTAGTTTACGTGTCGTGGCGATTCCGCATCCGCGAATTTCTCCTCGGCCAATCAACTTTTATCTTCTGGTAGGTGCAAGTCAGTGAGCCGTAATGTACGCCTATATCGACATGGCGGTTTATAATGTTCAGGCTGGAGTGATAAGCTTCGAGGGAATCTTCGCGTTTGTTTCGTGTTGGCCATGATGATCATCTCGGCGCTTACCCTAAGAAATCAGTTGCAAATCAATATTAGCCGAGTGGAAATTCATCGACACATGAAGCATTGTCTCTCCTCTCCTTCTCCCAGCACTGAAACCAATAGTAACACGCTTATTGCTTTGGGTGTCTATTTAGGGGTCCAATAGATAGGTCGTGATAGGTCGCATCGTCCGTCTAGTGCACGTTGTGGCTACGCCTAGCCTCCTTAACTGGCACTCACCCGTAGCTCTCCGACGTTAGGCTCCACCTAGCGGCCACCTACTCCGCCGTTCGCCCCGACTGGCGGACAAAACCAAGTGAGGGTCTCCGGTGTGTGCCTTCCACTACACACGGTATACCCCGAGTAGCAGTAGTAATTACCGTAGAAGAGGGAGTAGGAGGAAGGGTCCTAGGGACTAGTTAGTATATACACGTAGCTGCCGTACTTATTTAAGGCGCTGTTATCGTATTCCCGTAGATATTGTAGTAATATTAGGAGCCGTAGTAACATTGTCAGTGATAGAATAGCTTTTGCAGTATTTTTAATTTATCATCACCAGTCCCTCTACTATTAAGGATAGAATAAGGACTAAGTGTCGTAATTTTATTACCATCAGTATTGCCAGATAATTATTATTGCTTTGATATTTATTCATCCTATTACTATCATTATTATCATTATCGTGAGCATCGCATTTTCTGCTGCATTTAATTGAAATGTTTTATTGCATTAATATATATATATATATATATAT